TGGCATGAATCATATGTGTTGTAGATAAATCTTTATCACAGTTATATCTTTATCAATGAGCTGGACAAGGGAATTCAGTTCACCTTCAGTAAGTGTGCAGATAGCATCAAACTGGGTGGGAATGTTTTTCTACTTGAAAGTAGAAAGGCTTTAGAGAAGGATCTGGGTTGGCTGGATCAATGTGCCGAGGACAATGGTATGAGTTTCAAAAAGGCCAAGTGCCAGGTCCTACACTTTGGTCACAACAACCCTAGACAATGCTAGAGGCTTGGGGAAGAATGTTTGGAAAGCTGCCTGGTGGAAAAGGATGTGGGGGTATTGGAGGAGAGCTGGTTAAATATGAGCCAGCAGCATGCCCAGGTGGCCAAGGCCAACAACATCCTGGCTTGTAACAGAAACAATGTGACCAACAGGACTAGGGAAGTGATTGTTCTCCTGCACTAAGCACTAGTGAGGCTGCGTCTTGAGTACTGTGTTCAGTTTTGGGCAGTTCAACTAGAAGGAAGAGTCTGAAGTGCTGGAGCATGTACAAGGAAGGTCAATGAAAATGGTGAAAGGTCTTATAAGGAGTGGCCAAGGGAACTGAGATTATTTAGTCTGGAGAAAAGGAGGTTGAGGGAAGACTTTATTGGTCTCTATAACTACCTGAACAGAGGTTGTAGTGAGGTTGGGGGTCGGTTTCTTCTCCAAAATAGCAAGTGATAGGACAAGAGGAAGTGGCCTGAAGTTGCACAGAAGAGAAGGTTTAGCTTGGATGTTAAGAAACATTTCTTCACAGAAAAGGTTGTCAAGCGCTTCTCTGAGGCTGCGCCGAGAAGTGGTGACGTCACCATCCCTTGAGGTATTTAAAAGAGGTGTGGATGTGGCATGTAGGTATGTGGTTTAATGGGATTTGGCAGCGCTAACAGTTATACTCAATGGTTTTAAAGGTCTTTTCCAAACTGACTCTGCTTCTATTATAGATGCATCCACAGCATTGGATGCACAACCACTGCAACCTAGCTCCCTGATTTATACAAAGGCTAAAATAGTCCTTAGAAAAGTCTTGGATGCTCTATTGCGAGCATGCAAGTACCAATACAGCAAAACACAAGTCAGATCAAGCACCCTGATTTGGGGTGAGTGGATGTGCACAGTAAAACCTTGGATTGCTTTATCTCTGTTAAGCAGAGCTGCTCAGGGTGGTGCCTGCATTTGACACCCTTAAAACCTTCGTCACTGAGGATTGGAGCCTAGGGATTCTTGAACACTTGTCCAGCCAATCAGGCTTTATGTTTTTAAGAAAAAACATTTTCTTCCTAAACAGGATTTGCATTGCTTGGTGTTGCTGGTTTTTCAAGGGAATAATAAAAGTGTATAAAATGTTGTGATCTTTAATCCAGCTAGACTTGGTTTGTCATTCAAAAGAAAAATGTTATAAGCCACATCAACAACTGGCCTGGGTCACAGGTCTGCAGTCGTATTTTCCTGTGTGGCAAGGGGAGGGAAAGGCATTGACTATCCTTCTAAAGTGGCTTTAAGATTTACTATCAAAAAATGCTGCACAAGAGCTACGTATTTTTATTACCGTTATTATTTGAAATTATGCAGCAATAACAAGAAGGCAAGATCATCAATGGCAGCTGAGCAGCACTTTAGTTAGGAAACGTTGTAATGATCCAGGCTGACATTTTTATTGCTTTATAAGCTCACTTATTACCTAGGTTGTTTGTTGTGAGAATCAAAACAAGGTGGGAAAGGAGTTTGCAGCAATCAAAGACACAGGCTGTGTATGAACATGATTTCTTTGGCAATCTGATATGTGAAGGAGCAGAGACGTTCCAGACTGTTGAGGCTCTGAGAAAAGGACCACCAGGAAACACTCTGCACGTGAACTATTAGTACCTGAAAACACTAGTCTCTGCGTATTCATTTTCATGCCTGGCTAAGCACCAAAGCTTTAACAGAGTCCCCTTTCTCAGTCAAATTGCAGTCTGAACTGATGCATCCAGCCATGGGGAGCTTTTGGAGAGCCTGCCAAAGGCTCATCTCTGCTGATGCTCATGGGGATTTAGAGATGCAGCTTCTTCTTTAACCAGAGTGGTGCTATTGTAAAAAGTAGTGCTACATAGATTTTTATAAAACATTTTGAAGTGTGGCTGTACCAGACCCTTGTGTCTGACAATTATGTTTGTTTAAGCAAGACCTCTGAGTCTGTAACAATGAAATTATCTATTTTTCGCGACAATTAACACAATGTTTTTGTATGAGCTGAAGGTCAGAGGATTAATGTAGTTTTATCTACAATGCATTTTTAAAAGCTAATTAAGAATCATTCAGTTCACTCCGTACTAAAGACTGAGAACATTTCACATAAGATGACTCTTGCTCCTCAGCAGCAGTGGGGCAGGTGCTGGGGATGGAATGCGGCGGCTGGGGGAAATGGAGGGGAAAAGAGGAATGGATGAAGAGAGGAATAGAGAATAAGTGATCTGGCATGCAAATAAACAAATACTTCACAAGGATGCAGTTAATAGAGAGCAATAAATAATTTTGTAACACTGGACATAAAATTGTCTTCTGGACAAAAGAGCTAATCTAAAATATTAATCAGCAAAAAAAGTCAGCATTTGCAATCACAAGCATTCCTTGTTAGATGAAAAGGAATAGAAGGGAGTGCCGATCTCAGAGCATTATTTTAGAGATGATTTTGTCACCTAGTACTTATGGAACATCTCTGCCTCACTCTTTCTTGCACCTGACAACCGGTACACACTACAATTCCTGTGTGGGTTAATGGGCTTCCTGTCAGAGGTGAGTATTCTGGAAGAAAGTATGTGAGGATGGAGGAGAAGAGGTGGGACCAGGGTGCCAGGCAGCCAGCTCCTGGCAGAAAGATCTGCCTGCTGGCACAGGGACAAGTGTGGGTGGCAGCAAGGAGGCAGAATGCCCCACACCCAGCTTCAGGGATTGCAGAGATTGGGGAAGCAAAATGAGAGACAAAATCAGAGGCATCCAGAGGTAACAAAAGAAATTTGAAAGCAGGGGTATTTTTAGTATGGTGGACTCTGCCTGGCTTTTTAATGGGAAAAGGTAAGAAAATTGGAAGCTGTTCACACACTCTTGCTTTTGGATGCTTACCTATGCTGCTGATTCAAATATGCTAAGGTTCATTTACTGTGTCTGCCCAAAACATGTAAATACTATCAGACACTGAGGTGCCTCATTTCAAAACTAGGCTATACACTAATATTCTGCTGATCAAATGTGGTAATTATTTCAGGCTTAAAACCTTTTAGGGATAACAATAGATCCTGTCAATCAAAGATAGAAACTACACATGCATTCAAAGAGCAAGCTGAATGAGGAATAACAGCAACATGTGTAGCTAGAATGTATTATAGATTACCGTCCTCTTACACAAAGGCTAGTAAACTCTTCAAAATGCAGGAACTTGCGGAGCTAATAAAAAGGACAGAAATGTGTGGATGTCTCGGTTTGTCTAATTTGTGTCTTTCTAGCACTGGTAGGGTGATTCACTGGATTTAGCAACAGTTTGTGAAGATGAACATATTAATAGATTTATGCTGCAGCTCTGCCACAAAATGTAATCTTTTACAATTCTGTACTCTGAAGTGGAATACAAGCTTAGAATCAGAATAAAATTAGAAAATATATTTGAATTGTCAGCTTATTTTCTTTTTAAAGCTGTGTTTATACATTTAAATATACAATTTAACTTGGAAAAGAGTTTTCCTTCATCCCCATCCCTTCCCCAGTGTGCCACTCTCTACTATGAAAGACTGAAGCAGATTTAAATAATGGGGCTACCAGGATAGTACTCCAAGGTATTCTGTGTCATTCTGTGTATTTTTTTGCACCAAAGATATATTAACATTTTTCCTCCTATCTGTAAACACTTGAGTAGGAAAGCTTATGCAGACTGTGTAGGACCCAATGACAAAGAAACCAGCTGCATAGTGGACCTGGCATATATAATCCTCTATGGTAGTACACAATGGGGTATACATCCCTTCCAGCTTTTGATAGAGTTCAACACATTTAGATGATCAAATAACTGAGCAAAAGATTTGCATTAAGGATGTAGTACCTACAGCCCTGAGTCTTCCAACCCTATTTTAAACTTTTCTCTATGAATTTAGACATTAGTGTAGTCTACAGAAAGGTCCATCTGGCTATTTGTAGAAGGTTCTATATAAAGTGCCTGACAAAGCAGCAAATAAACCCAGTGTTTGTAGGTATTAAGATAATGTTCAAACCACTAAACTGGCTGTTTTGTTTCTACTTGTTTCACAGACTGTGTCACTTACCAGACATATGTTTGCTTTTGGGCATTAAACAGACTTGCAAATTTACTGCCATTTTGGGAAAGAAAAGTTACAACAATTGTAATGTAGGCAAGACCTGAATATTAATTTCTAATCTTGTTGAGAAATTTACATTTTAATGTTAAATATCATGAAACACAACGGATTATATTCAGGACATTTACTAACTTTATTTTTAGATATTTAAATAAAATATTTCCTGTGATAAATAATTCTTGTGGATAAAGATAACTATTTTCTACCAGATTACAAGCTTTGATATGTTGATGTTTCTACTTACAAGCTCAATTTGTGAAATAATGCAAAAACCTGTTCTCCATTCAGTCTTTCCATGCCAGTAGTTTCCTTTGAAACTACTTACAGCAGCATTCATGTTTGTAAAAATCTCAAGTTCACAGAATTGAAAATTGTATGTATTATAAATGAACATACATATATGTATGTATATTATGCATAAAATATTACACATATAAAAATGCAATGGAAACATATTATAAATATATAATAATATAATGTGAGCTATAGATCTATATCTACATCTGTATGTCCATCTTGGATTCTGAAGAGGTAATGAACCACATATACCCCTATCTCAAATGTTTAAAACCTGAAAGTGCTTACACCACATAGTCAACTACTATCTGCAGAGAAAGATAGACTTCAATTTCTTACCTGTTTTTTTAATTTCAGGGACAGCTGTCTTCTTATGAGCTTTCTCTTTTTTTGCTGCTTTTTCTAAAATTTAATTAAAGAAAGTAATTTGATATGCTAGAACTCTGAATCATACACTCAAATATGCAGTCAGCCAAGTCCTGGTGGGCACATGGTGAAAAAAATGTGACTTATTTGGGAGTTTAGTTCAGATTATTTCTTTATAGAACTTGCACCCAACTAGCCACAGAGCAATCAGCTGAAAATGAAAATTAATCAGCATGCATCAACTATGGATGATTTGGACCCTTAATAATTCATCAAAGGCTAGGTGAAAATCATCAGTGCATGAATGTGGTATCTTTTAGGTTAAGCTCCCATGGCAATGAGATCATTAAAAAATAATGAATGACATAAATATTTTCCCATGAAAGCAAGACCTTGGTGGATTTTAGATACTTCCTGGGAATTAATGATCTTAAATGCTATTTAGGTGGCTATCAGGGCTTTGGTTATTGTAAGTTTTGGTTGTCATTCTATAAAGTAAATAAATAAATCTCCCCCACCTTCAGAAAGTGAGGTACCATGAACTGAGTGATATCTCCTATGAGTTTTGCATATGACAGTATAACTGTGTCCTGCTATTATATAGGGAATGTTATATAGGGAAACAGGACTTTTTATTTGTCAGAAAAAGAGTCTAGAAACACATGAACACATCAGATATCAGATAGAGAAGAAGTGGTAACATGCAAATAATGACTAAGCAACTAAGACAAGGACAACACAGAGCAAGAGGTATAGGATTAACGTAATAAAAAACTACGGGATTTGAACCAGGAGTGGGAGTTAAATCTGAATGAAGCCAATAATACAAGTTCTCAAACCATACCTTTCTTCTTAATTTCAGTCGTAGCCCTCTTCACATCAGCTTTATTCTTTTCCTCATCTCTCTCTAAAAAAGGAAATAAAAAAATTCAGCTGACTACTTTTGCTTGGATATATAAATATACCACATATGTATGTATTTGTATTTTTGGGATGGGAATCCTTAACTGCAATAGGTTCTATGATTGATAAGCTAGTCACTTTTTTAGGAGTTTGCTATAAGCAATTCAGAGATATAGCTCAGAGAGTGAATGGGGCACTAAGGATAGAACTAGAACCTGTATGTACACTAGATAATTACTCTAATACTAACTCAAGAAATTATGCCTATTAACTTGATGTAACTAAGAATTGATATTGATTCAGTGGCATGCCCTTGTTCTGCCTCTTTTATGAAAACTGACTAAACGATAGCAAAACCTGGAAGTCATACTTGGGAATAAGCACAGAATACAATGGAAAGCCTCCATATAGGATATATCTTTATAACACTTTATGAATTAAACCTTTGAAATGGTCATTACAGGACTTTCGTTATTCATGGAGAATTGCAGTTAAACTACTTCTCTTTTAAATGCAATTGCCTTTATTTTGTCAATCAATTGCACAATAGTAGAAATAAGGATAATGTTTTTCCTATTTTTTTTTTTACAAAAACCTACAATAATTTAATTACTTGTTCCATTAATGTTATTAATTAGGAAATTGAGAGTTCAGCAGAGGAGATGAGGAAGCTATAATTCTTATTTTGCCCTTGGGAGATGAATCCCCATTTTGATGAGAAAGAATACAAGAGTACAAGAATAACTAATCTAAATGTTTGGGATTTTTTTCCAACTACTCATCTACAAAAAGACAAATTTGTTACCTTCAGTTTGTGTTGCATGGCTTTAGCTATTGATGTATTTTGTTGAAATACAGTTTTCTTTTTGTGATATGCTACCTTTATGAATGTGGATAAGAAGCCAGGTTTTATTACCATACAAAATGGCACAAACACAGGCACTTAAGCTTTTAAGTCTTTTCTTTACCTGAAAAATATTTAAGGTATAGGAATATTTTCTGAAGCCATCAGATCCAAGAAGCAATTATGCTATTAACCCTTGCACAAATTAACATGAAGGTAAAGGAGAAATTAAGAAACTTACTTTTCACTTCTTTAGCTCTCCCAATAGAATCTTCTGTATGAAAAAAGATATAGAAACAGTGAGAGAAAAGGATTAGTTTAATTACTGCACAGCATTCAGCATCCTAAACCAAAACAAAATATGTGTATTTTTGATAGAAAAAATTGTTACTTTTATAGAGTATGTGAATTTCACAGTCTGTCCATGGTGGTTTCATTAAAAAGTTATTTTGCCTATTGTGGAGGCAATTTATCAATATTCAGGGTTTCCCCAAACCGTAGCTCTGCTGATTTTCTGACAACAGTGTTCAAAGTTAAGCATGCTTTTGACATGTTCCAGTTATTCCTTGTTTTAAACAGATTTGTTCAATATGTTTCCCATGTTATTGTCTTGATAAAAGGTAGCAGAAAATCCTTGCAAGTGTTTTAAAGAATGTTTCTTGCAGTGGTTTTTTTGGTGCTTAATTTTCCTTGCTGAAAGCCCTGGCATACTAGCATTCAAGCTACAAATTCCTTTGTGCACGACTGTGCTTTATGATAGGTTTCTTGAGTAGGCATACAGCATTAGAGTAGTCCGCATCCTCCACAAGCTTCTTTGGAGCTTCGTTGTCTTGTATATTTTAATGTCTTTGTTATTATCTATCTCTAGGGTTCCTAGAAGTCTGTCTGTCTCTCTCCAACAGGATGTTCTAGAGATTCACACTAGGGATTGTAGCTGCATCTTCAAAATGCAAGACTCTTCAGCCTCACATTACACAACAACTGTTCCACATATCCATTTTCCTGTGCCTGCCATGATTTTTCTGCATTTCATTTCCATGTACAATGTATAACTCTCCTAAGTTCTAAAATGTGGTTTGTTTGCTTACTCTGCCCGATATAACCAAAACAGTTAAATATATCAAGTTTATCAGTTACTGTCAGAAAAAAGAAAAAATCTTTCTTCTGTCTTCTTTCTAGTAGTCTTTACTCATAGTAACTAGAAACTGAAGTATGGAGGATGTACAGGAAGTAGCAGGAATTTTTACTGCAAATAACTTAAACTACAAGGAGACTACATCCCTAGCTGAGGAGTTTTTATTGTGAGGTCAATCAACAATTAATTTCACTGACATAATTTTCTTCCATCAAGCTCTCAAGTTGCAATATTCAGAGTGTCCAGGGAGCCTAGAAATATCTATATTTGTTAAGAGTTTTTTAGAGCATGATTACATACAGGTATTAAAGGACCATGCCTCCTATTTCCCAGTAGCACTGCCTAATGTAAGATGAAAGGCCTAATGAAAGATGTATAGTCTTTGTCAAGTCTGAGAAAAACAGTCACAGGGCTTTCATTCACATCTCAGCTGTATCTAGCCCCACTGATGTTCCTTACAGCTATTACTGACAAAAGTTTATGTAAATGAGAATGATGGACTTGGAAAACGGATATTATGGTAAGAGATATTTCTGATTTAAGGAAGTAATCCCATTTCTTGAATAAATTTATTTCCTCTCAATTTCAGTAGTTCACATTTAGATTGTTGGACATTAAATATATAATTAAACCCAGCAAAACCTGTAATTTCTGAAGTAATAAATGAAGGTAGTTTTCTCCACATATGTATACAACTAAATTAGGAGGCAGAGCAAATAATTAAATAAGAACTTACGAAGATCTTTTCCACTGTAAAACACAAACCACATCTGTTAGTTAAAAGTACTTATTTTTTTAGCTAGAAACAGTAACAGGACTACAAGTGTCCACAGATCAGCTGCATGAAGAGGGACCGTATCTGTGAACAGTGGGTTTCACAAGGAAATGCAAAGTGTTTTTGCTGATTTACTGTTGACTACAATACGGAATTCAAATGCAATTTACTCTTGAAAAATCTATTGCTATTGTATACTGTTACTTGAGAATGTAATTAATGCTATTTTTTTTTCCCCAAGATCACTAGTCTTGAACTATATCCTACATACAGAGTATATAAGATGTGCATACAAAACAACCTCATCTTCAAAGGCCTACAATGTCTTTACAAAGATGAAATGGGGATATATGCAGATAGCGCAGTGCATGGTGACAGAATCCATCAGCAACACAAGCAAATGACTTTGCATTTAGTCTATTTTTTTTTCTGTAGACTTTATGCAGAAGTGGAGTATTATGCAGTAGAAGAAGGAACCCAGTGGGCATGAAAAGTGTGAATTAAAGCAGTGATGTGCTACTGAATGGAAAATGCAGGTAAATTTTTTATTTCCTGGGGGAAAAAACAATCCAACCTAACATTAGAATAGTTTTCTTGGGAAATGGCTGGAGCAAAGAGAACTGCCCTAAAGGAAGGAAACATCTGAGATGGAATGATTTATTTCTGAATAAGTGTTGAAGGACCAAGGACACTGTTGGAAATCCAAGTAAGATTCAATGGAGACTGAGAAAGAAGTGTTTCCATCTGAATTCCCTTTACCAGTTTTGACAGTGTCTTTGTATTGTTCTCATGAGATGTCAACTAATCCTTGGACAACAAGGGGAGGGGAGATAACTGAAACATGCTAACAATTCATCACTTGAAAACAGGCCTGGTAAAACCAATCTGCCACTGTGCCAGTGCTAAGTGGACCCTAAATTTAGGCATGCATGTGAGTTACTGGGCATAATGTCACGGGAATGCTGCCTGGGAACTGGAAGAGGAAGATGCTCTAGGAGTTTCTTCTCTGTATTGCTCCAGAAGCTCCATGCACTTGTGGAAACACTTACTCTGGAAGGAATTGTAAGATCATCCCATCTGCTCTGAGAAATTGAGGTAAGAAGAGCAGCAAAATATAGCCACTGGTACCTTCTTGTGGAGAGGTATGTGTATAACAAACACTAACTAGTGGGACTGAATGCCAGAGGTTTGGAGATGTTTTGGTTCAGATAAGCATTCTAAAGTTTAGGTACTTATACAAGGTTTATCTGCGTTTATTTAAAATCCTGTTGTCAGGAAATATCAGGAGGAAAGCTCTTGTCACGGACTTTGGATATTGCCTGGCTTTGTGAAATACTACAACAGCTTCTCTTGGCTACTGATTCTGGTCCTGGCAGAAATGAGGAGGAGCATAAGAGATATGTGTATACTCACTTACATACAAAAAAGAACAAAACAAACATTCACTTAGCATTTCCCGAAAAACTATAGTTCAGACTGAATGTAATAACTGCATTCCGGGTAAAACTTCATTCCATTTTTCTGCAAGCATTTCTACACCTTAAGCTGTCACGGCATAATTTTAAAAGAGCATTCCAACATAAACCAAGCTGTATTTTAAGAATTTCATTTCCTTATTAATTTTGAAACAATTAAGATTATTCTTCCTTTCTTTTAACTGGAGACCAAAATCCTTTCCCTGCT